CGCCCCCCCCCCCCCCCCCCCCCCCCCCGAGGGCCGGCGGTGATGTAGCAGCCGCAGGCAGTAACCAAGGTGGGCAGGAAGGCGACAACCAGGAGACCGAGAGCGCGGCCACGGGAGCCGGTGGCTTGACGGTAGATCTCAGCCAGGGGAAAGAAGGTGCTCGCGTCGCGCACCGCGTCGAGGTCGTTAACGGCATAGAAGATTGCAATCATGTAGCAGATACCAGTGACGAAACCAACAGCCCATCTGGGCAAGAATAGCCTTGGGGATATTTCGGCTCGGCCTGTAAGTTGAAGTCAGCACTGATAATAGAGGGAATGGGAAAGAAGAAAGCCGACTTTGGAATCTCCAGTGAGGCGAGTAGTAGGAGAATAGCCAGTCGATAAGTCAGGTGGAGGAAAAAACGGGCGCATATAGCTTGACAACATCATTCGTAGTTGATTCGGGGCCCAACACCCACTCGGTATATGCGCGGCACTGATTTGTCGATGCAGGCGCTTCAGTAGAACCCGTAGTCTGACCCTTAGCCTTCTTATCAAATCGCCCCAACTCATCATGGCTCGGGTCTTCTAGCTGATGCTTTCGGCTTGTCTGGGCATGCGGTCGGTACACGGCGCGCAGAGAAACTTGCTCAGGGGAAAGGCGGTCGTCACTGAAATATAGTTGTCGTAGCTCTTCAAGTATATGTCGAATGTTAGGATCGATAATGATGAAGAAACGGGGGCTTGCAAGAGCGGCAAACGCACGACGAATGGACGCAAGGGGAGCACCGTGCCACTCTTTCGGGCTGGAGTATAATTTTTCCAAGCCCGGGACTTCGCCGCTGTGCAGGAATTGTTTTAGGAACACCCGGCTGTATCTGCCACCAACCGCGGTGGGCAAAATCATGTTTCTGTCGATTTCGTGTTGCTTGTAGTCGGTATTGGTTGGTACCTGCCGTGAAAGAGAGGAGATAGGGACTCCAGTCTCCGTCGCAATTTGCTCTCACCGAGCACGATCCCGACGTTCAAAATCAATGAAGTATTGAACATCTTCTGGGAAAAATACGTAGCCGGGGTCGAGGGACATGTCGAACTCTGTATGGCAAGCTCCGCAAAGTGGAATCGAGTTGTGCGCGGTCTTATAATTGAATGTGAAGAGGCCCGCGTGCTCCCATACCGGAATCTGAATAAAGCGGGGCTTGTTAGCTTATTGCTCGAAAAGGCAGGATAGTCTGAAGTCACCTGGGGGTCAGGGTGGGGGACGACATGGCAGATTTCGGGGGCTGCCGTCGAACAAGCCCAACACTTAGCGCCGGCAAGTCGTAAAGTCTCTGCCTTTGTTGCCGCCGAGAACAAGCCTGATGAGGCGATGCTAGAACAAGATAAAGCAGCTGCCATGGATCCAGAATATACAGAAGACGACGAACGGCGAGACGACTGGCGGAGGTGGCATTCGCGTGCGATCTGTCGTGTGGTCAGTCATGATGGCGCATCGAGGTAGTGGGATGGACACTTACAGCAGCCCGACGCAAATCCGAGAACTCTCAAGTCGACGCACTGAGGTTAGGGAAGGCGTGGTTCATGAAGAAGGCACGAAGGGATAAGACAGCTGGGACGCACCCATGGTTCATCTGACCTGTCATGTTCACGTGAGAGATGACATAGTCATGGTCAATGAAGCCGGGGTTTAAGTAGGGCCAACGACTGAAAAAGGGGGGAACAACAAAAATAGGGTGTAATAGCCGCTCATTTGGGGCTGGTTGGAAAGGCTTGTGAATGAGAAAAGGTCAATCAACGCGTCTGGTGATAAACAGTGGCGGAAGCCTATTTTGTCACGTGGTCGTCTCACCGCCCAAGGTGCGATTCAATTCTGATTGTATAAAAAGTAAAAGGTGTCGAGGAGCTGCCTGTTCAAGGCCGGCTTGTGAAGATGGGAGTGTAAGTCGAGCGCGTAGAATTGGGATGAGAGGGTGGTGTAAAGCAACTGGGAGTGAGAAGAGTAAGTGAGGGAGGTTAAGTAGCTGCCCGGTTGGGGCCAGCTATTGTTGGAGATTACTTCGAATTTCACATATCCTTAAGTACGCGGGAGACCTTACTTTGCATTCAGCCCTCCTCCATACCACTCTAAGCAATCCCTAGCTGGCTCTAAACGGGAATCTTATCACGAACAACCATGGAGTCACCCTCAGGAATGTAAGAAAAAAAAACAAAAATAAAATAAAATGATAAGAGTGGGATTCGAACCCACGCCCCTTTCGAGACCAGGAAACTATTGCTAGTTATGGAGTTAAGGTATACCTTAACCTGGCGCCTTGGACCAACTCGGCCATCTTACCAATTAGATGGAATAGGAGGTGAGTCTACAATCCATAAAACATTTCTCATCCCAGATCATTTGAAAGTGGCAAGTCCAGGCCGAATCTCCTCGGGTGGGGCTTTCCCATTTCAGCTATGATCTCACATATTTGCGGTATGGACATACGAACTGTACTTTTCAGTCCGTTTAAATTTTCATTCTTCAATTCTACTCCGTACTCCGTACAGGGAAACCCCATACCATGTCTTATCTTTGCCTTGAAAGGATCCCGGAAGCATAACAAAATTCCCGAAGGGGGCCAGTGGATCGGCAGAAGAACGTTCTCGGCCCCCGAGATCGGAAGCGGACAGCTCTGACGCAAGGTGCTCTTATTATTAGAACGGTCACAACTTTCCAAGGCTGGGAACAGACTGGTCCACTCCCAAAGGCAAACTAATCAGATGCCAAAGGATTATTCCATATGGCTCTTTGCATTCGCAGGAAGGTGGACACCTTCAGGGGTGGCGCTTTGAGTCCACATGATGTAATATTCTCCCTCCGGATCAGCGGTCAAAACCAGCGGTGACCCTCGTACGCTGGTCGATTCAGCTGCAAATCTTTCGTCTTCTCCCAAGCTCACTCTTCAACCCGTCTGACCACAATGGCACCCCTAAAGCTCAATACCAAGAACCTGCAGTCAATTAAGGTCGCAGGCGATGGGCAGATACAAATCCCAACCCATCGTTTCCGCGATGGTACCGTTAAGGAGGGAATCGTCCACATTGGTGTTGGCGGCTTCCACAGAGCTCATCTGGCCGTCTACGTCGACCAGTTGATGGAGAAGCATGGTGAAACTGACTACGCAATTTGCGGCGTTGGCTTGCAACCCTTCGATGCCGCCATGCGTGATGTCCTGAGAGAGCAGGACCACCTCTACACCGTCCTGGAGCGCTCTGACAAAGGAAGCTTTGCCCACGTTGTTGGATGCATCAATTCCTATCTCTTTGCCCCTGACAACCGCGAAGCCGTCATTGCCAAGATGGCCCACCCTGATACCCGTATTGTATCGCTCACCATCACCGAAAGCGGCTACTACTACAACGAAAACACCCACGAGCTCCTGAGCGATCACCCTGATATCCAGTCCGATACCAAAAAAGGCAACGAAAACACACCGTGCACAACCTTCGGCTTCCTCTACGCTGCCCTAGCACGACGCTACCGCGCGACCCCAGATGCGAAGCCCTTCACCGTCATGTCGTGCGATAACATGCAGAAGAACGGCTCTATCACACGTCATATGCTAGTATCATTTGCGCGCTTGATGGGTGACCCTAAGATCGCGGACTGGATTGCCGAGAAAGGCGCCTTCCCCAACGCCATGGTCGACCGCATCACACCTCAAACATCAAACGAGGACAAAAAAGAACTAGCGAAGGACTTTGGAATTGAGGACGCATGGCCCGTCGTCACAGAGCCCTTTATGCAATGGGTTATTGAGGACCAGTTCTCCAACGGCCGCCCAGATTTCGCAAAGGTCGGTGTCCAGGTTGTCAAGAATGTCCATGACGTCGAGGAGTTCGAGAAGCACAAGCTCCGTCTACTCAACGGCAGTCATTCTGCCATCGGCTACCCCGGCCAACTGGCAGGCTTTGACTACGTCCACGAAGTGATGCAGAACCCGCACATGCGCAAGTTGGTATGGGAGATGATGCAAGAAGAGGTGAAGCCGCTCTTGCCGGAAATCCCAGGCGTCAACATTGACGATTATTGCAAGACGCTCATAAAGCGCTTCTCCAACTCAAAAATCAAGGACCAGTTGCCCCGCATCTGCCTCAATGCCTCCGGCAAGATCCCACAATTTATCATGCCGTCAATTGCCGAGGCGATTATGGAGAGCAATGAGAAGCAACGTGAATATCCTTTCCGCCGCCTGTGTTTCGTCGCGGCCTCTTGGTTCCTTTATATCAACGGTGTCGATGATAACGAAAATACGTTCGATGTCATCGACCCTATGTTCGATGAGCTCAAGGCTGCGGCTGAGGCCGGCCGCGGTGGCCCCAGCCAGCTGCTTGAAATCAAGAACCTCTTCGGTGACGACTTGCGCGAATGTAAGCGGTTCACCGATGAGATGGAACAGGCCATGAAAGACATCGCTGAAAAGGGTGTCTTGAAAACACTGGAAGAGTACTTTCCTGACCGAACCTGAGGGCCTTAACTGATCGCTGTTGGTTTTGGCGAAAAATTTACACACTGCGAGCGTTGTTTTGCCTTTTCTTTGCATGCGTCCTGGGGGAATACACCCAGGGGGAAAATACGACATAGGAGATAGACGGTAGATAAAATTTACCTAGCTATGTACTTGTACATTGGAATGGATGTCGCTGTTTGGACAGATTTATCAAATCTGATTTGATTGAGGGGGTTTTCTGGGTATGTTTATTTTGGAGAAAGCAAATTTTTGCGGGCGGGAATATAGCCATTGCGGTCTATGATGTTTAGATAGATGCGAATCTTAATTTTTACATTTCGATATACCTCGGGAGCAACTTTCCAAGCCATGTATGTGGAGTAGATAGCTTGTGGTTCAGCGTGCCCAATTTACATTGAAGAGAGACTTAAAAGGAAAGTGAGGACGTACTCGACTTTGGAAACTGGAGAATATCATGTTTAAATCCAATAGTTATGTTCTATGAGCTATCAAGAAGGTCAATGACATGAAATTCACAGCCAATCAAGAAGTCGACAGTTATTACATTTGCATTCTGACAAGAGCCATTGATATTGCACATGTGGTAGCCCATTCATACCTGGGACTACCAAATACAAGCTAGAGAAGGAAGACGTAAATATTTTCAACAGTGAATTTTGAAGTATCCGGGATCATAGAACACCCGCTAGCAGTAAAAAATAGGAATATGTGCGAACAATATTACAAAAAGAAATGGCCGAACCCACAAATCCAAGTGGTTGAATGGGCTATTGTAGGACAGCCAGCAAAACAAAAGACAAGCTTAAATCATGAATATGCAAATCCAAGTCTCCAAGTCTCTCTCAACAAGTTTACAGCATGATCATGAAGACACCAGAGGCAACGGCAGCCACCGCATAGGCACCAGCCTGCCAGACACCAATGTGCACAGCCTGGGGAACAGTACCGGCAGCAATACCAGAGGAGGTAGCACCACCAGCGCCAGTGCCAGAAGCACCAGCACCAGTGCTAGCAGCAAGACCGCCGCTAACAGCACCAGTACCAGCAGAGCCAGCAGCACTCATCTGAGTAGCGCAGGAGCCAGAGGCAGAGGTAGACTTCTTAGTCTTAGCAACACCATTGAAGCCGCAAGCCTCGCTACCAGCCTTGCCCTTGTTCTTCTGGTAGTAAACATTCATAGCCCAAGCCAGACGCTGCTTAGCAGAGCACATGGAGTAAGCGCCGTAGGTGCCAGAAGTAGCGTTGGACTGGACTCCGTCCATGACACCATCCTCGCCGCCGAGGTAGCCAAAGGTGGAACCGACCTGCTTGTCGGTGATATCAGAGTTGGGGACACACTCGAGGGAGTTGTACATGCACTCGCAGAGGTCCGCGTTGGGCGAGGGGGGCAGCTTGCTGGCGGCGTTCCAGTCGGAGCCGACGGTGGGACAGCTGCGGCCGACGGTGGTGGAGACGGAGTATTTGGCAGATTCCACGCCGGTTGGGGTTGCCGAGGCCATTTGCTTGGAGAGGTTGCTGAAGTCTGGGAGGGTCTTTACGTCGTCGCCGTCGACGGAGACGAGGCCATATTTGTTGGCTTCTTCGTAGTACATGTAGACGATGCCGCCAGACCAGACGTCGGTCATCTTGTCGCTGTACAGGACGGGAACGTCGGTGAACTTGCGGGGGCGGACGGAGTTACAGCCGTACTCGGAGAAGAAGGCGGGCACGGGGTAGTCTGCGAATTCCTTGGTGCGCTCGGAGTAGCCGGATTTCTGGAAGGAGGAGTCGCCGCACCACTCGTAGATGTTGTAGCCGAAGAAGTCGATGGAGTCGGCGGCTTCGTCGCAGATTAGGTAGTTGGAGACGGCTTCGCGGACTGTGGCATCGTCATCGGTAGCGTAGCCAACGGCCAGGGAGCTGCGGTAGTTCTTTTGCTTAATGTAGGACTTCATATCGCGGACGGCGGCTTTGACGTAGGCCATGGAGTTAGTGTTGTTGACCTTGTTGGCGACTTCGTTTCCGGCGAAGAAGCCGATGACGTTGGGGTACTTGGCGAAGGCATCGACGACCTGAGAGTAACGAGTGAAGAGATCCGAGTTCCAGGTAGGGTCGTCGGACACAATAGATTCGCTAGGCGAGGACAGATCGGTGATCAGGTAGATACCGGCATCGGCGAGGGCAGTCATACACTCGTCGTGGTCCTTGCTGGGGTCGACGGCGTATGTACGGACAACATTGGTGCGCAATTGGGTCAGGTAGGGGATATCACGCTTGCAGGTGTCGATGGCCAACGGGTCGGTGTATTTGCTCTCGCCGGAAGCACCGTTGCGACCGGTGTATTCGGGCTGGTAGGCGACACCACGGATGAAGAACTCGGTGCCGTTGTTGGAGTAGAAGAACTTCTTGCCTTTGATCTCAATAGAGGGAATGTCGGCAGCCATAGCCGCTCCCAAAAGGGAGACACCAGCGATGATGGAGGCCTTCATTGTGAAAGGAGATTTAAATCCTAAAGAATGTCTGACGGGTACACACCGTCTTTAGTGGAAGCGAATGTAAATAAGAGGAAGAAAGAATACGAAGAAATCTAGGTCGGAAGGGAGTTGAAGAAAAGAGCTGGCGGGAAGAGGAGGACACAAGGGGTGGATGTACGCGCATTCATGTGGATAAATCAGTGCATATCATCCATCTACATTGGTTTATTTCTTTTCTATTTTTGTTTTGTTTTTGGTAAATCAATTGAAAGATGTGATTGGCAATCCATATGAAAAGAAACGGAGTGGCATATCTCCATCATTGGCCCTTCTACTCCACCTCTCTCCACTATCCCTCCACTATCCCCTTCCATCAAGCCTTTTTCCGTTGAGTCCTTTTGCTTATTTGCCACCCCTGAAACAAGTGTAAGCGCTAGTGGGCCCGTGGACGGCCGATGATGCTCCCAATACGGTGCCTGGAGGGTTTGTGGAACTTCTCACTTTCTGGTAATCTATTGGAAAGTCAGCATCTTGTCCACGGTAACTCGTCCACACGCCAGTCATAACGTGTACATATAACCTACAATATTGTATAATAGACAAAAGATATCCAAAATCAGAAAGCTTGTTCGTTGCCAAGGACGATCAATGCTATGACGTGCGGAATGAAATCTCTGGGCATCCTTGGCTAAGGCTTGTACATTGCAATAGCACATACAAAGTAGACGGATAACATTAACTAATAGACTACAATCCCTTTCAAATAATGGACTAGTCTCATGGTGGGACCAGTAATGGAGTCTATCCCTTAATTAGTAGAATACTTGGGTACATATGTAGGTGCTTCGAGGGCGTGTCGGGCCAATGTTTCATTTGGGACTCGCATCCGGCAATACTATGATAGCAGCTCAACATTTTCTGGTACATATACTGTTCAATTTAGTAAACTTCTAGATCTCCCATTAACTTAGGACAAAACGATCGATATCCGTAACATCCTCAAACTTGGACGGCCGATCAGACGGGACAGCAGGCACTAATATTTCCTCCCGTCTTTATCGCCCCCCTCTTTCCCACCTAGACAATAGTATATAACCAGGATCTTTGTTTTCTGGAAAAGTAAAAGGCAATCTACAACATACAACATACATATGTACTATTCGAGACAAGAACCAGGCAGTGCAACTCAGGGGTATTTGCACCCCTGAATATCATAGATCACGTCAAAAGCGGGTCCTATGTAGAAAGTCAATCCGCTCCCGCTCGGGGCTTCATGGTATGTACGGAGTACGTACTCCGTACATATTCTGCTCTACCAAGCTTTGTGGCGGCATAATAACCCGCTTGGTATGGAGTCTCGGTGGATTCTTTGCTTCATTATCAGTATGAGACATTTTCTAGACATTGGGGCTATGACAAACTCTCGAGTATTGGCTTGCTACGAGATACAACATACATATTTGTTTTGCTCTAATAACTGAGACTGATCACCCTTTCCTTTGTTTTCTGTCTATACCGGGGTACACGTTGAACGTATCAGTTAAATGCGTATAGGAGGGCCTCTGTCCAGAACGCTCACGACATGCTCCACACCCTTGTAAAGGACCGACCTGCTGCAGCGAAACGGAGTTATTCGCTAATTCCAGAATACGCTATTTGGCTCAGTCTCGTTAGAGCCGGAACCTAGATCAAGCCAGTATACCCAGGCAATACCGGTGGGATGCTCCATCCACATTGCCAGAGACAGTGGATAATGCGAGTAAGATAAATTAAATGAAGTTATTTCTGGACATAAAGCTCCAGCTGAAAAGGAACTGGAAGTCATGGCCTAAAGTGGCTAGCGCGAGGTAGGCAGCAACTATTTTGGCCCAAAGATGCCCCGGAGATCCATAGGGCTGAACCTTTTCCTTTTCTGTGTTGTAAAACATTTGCTTTTCAATTTGAGGCTCTTGACTTCCATTTTGCTCTGCCTCAATCTGCCTCACTCTGCCTCACCTCGCTTCAGCAACAGCCCGACCGCAGACCTTACAGCACAGACACCAACGCAACAGAGCTAGAGAGTTGACAACCACGTACATTGGCATTGCAGCTAAGCTGACTGTTCATGAATATATATTTCCTCGGGATGACGACGGCCATTTACTTTTGCAGGGTCAAAGAGTCAGCCCAAGCCATCGACGTCCGCAGTACCTGCCCGAGGCCTAGTTGATCATGGACCACGGCCTCATCACGAAGAGCCTATCTATGACGAGTTCGATATAGACACCAGCGTGCCTAATGACAGGGTCACAATCTCTGGTTGGGGGAGCGTGCCCTCTCCCAGAGTACCTCGAAAGCACCTGAGGCCGAGGGCAGCTGCTTAGGTGATCACGGCAGCCCTGGCGCTGCCCAGCGCTTACACGGGCACCAACCAAGAACCTTGAAAACCAACACGTGATTGTTCCATTATGCGTCTAGCTTGACCGGGAAAGCAACTAACTGACATACAACATCAAGGAAAAGGGGGTTGTGGCGTTCAGGCCTGGGAATCAATACCGTACTCGAGACTTGATTGATCCAAAACTGCCAAGAGCGGGTCAAAACCCCCTGCACAATTTGTGTTGGAAATTTCCTCCCAATAAACGGAAGACCCATATTTGTGGCCCGGTCTCTGTGCCACGAGTGCAACGCTATATCGTATGGCAATATCTGTAGGAATGCCCGAGGAAATCCATCAGACCAGACGCGGTGTGACCGTGCTATTTGAAGACTGCAGAATGCCGGTGATCGCGAAGAAACAAGATTATGCCAAGTGACCCAAGCACAAAACAACAAAGCTTCCACTGACGAAGCTTTCGGTGCCAAGGTTTTGAGTGGCGCTCGAGTTTCATGGATCCAGCGCATCAATATTCATCTCACGATGTCTGACGTCTGCGTAGGAATTTATAGAACAGGGCTTGAAACAAATACTTATTCTAATTGGTTTTACCAACTGCCAACGTTGACTACTGTACACCAGTTGCGCGATCCGAGCTTGGTTTTTCTTTTCTAGACGCCAAGCTCATAATATTTGCTCCACTATCCACACTATACGCACCACAAGACGGAGTATGCACTATCACGATCGCCCCGGGCGAGTGTGGCTGTGTGTTCTCAATTCTTCTCGAAGTCCGTTCTCTAGAGAAACCTAGGAAATTGTTACCAGACAAATTCTATCCCTTCATTTTCGAGTCACTCCTTTTGCTCTCTTTCTCACCGTCTCGTTTCATAATTGTCACTCGTTTGGTCTTTGTTGACTTCCCCCTACCCCTTGCTTGGGCGTGATTTCTCACCGTTCCCCTGTCCGCGTGCCATTGTTTGAGTCCTCTTTGAACTTCGCGGATCCGCCATTTATCATCCTGCTGTGGCTGAATCTTCAGCCCATCCCCATCCAGCGCTTAGACTACCGTAGTCGCTTCCGCCTGTGAACCTTCTGAGCTACCCACATCTCGAAACCGCTAGCCAGTACGTGTTCTCTAGCCCTTCTCATAGGCATCCGTCGCCAGGCGTCTCAGGTCCGAGCCACGTTGTGGCTGTATCACCAATTGGACCAAATATAACCTCATTGTTGGCCTGTTTTCTCCCAACCGCTGTTGCTTTGTCCTCGTCTTTCTATTTAAATATCTCTTGCAAGATTACACTTACTCACGAATCTATTTCTCCACAGACTCACATCAATCTGCTACTATCATGCGTAAGTACAACATCTATACATACTCAACCTCAACTGGACAGTCATACTAAAAATACAACTAGATAAAATTCGCAGCGCAGCCCGCGCATCGGCATGGTACGGCCCCTCCTTCAACCCATTCCAAAAGATCCAAAGCCGGTCCCATCGATCGAACTCTATGCAGCTCGAGGGTGGACTAGCCCACTCCCAGACCTTGGGCGACCTCTCAGCAGACCAGCAACGCCGAAGGGAAATGAACGAGGGCATCAGCGTCCCGGAGTACTCGAACACCTTCGGACCGGAGTTTGCTGGCAGCGACCATGAAACACACAAATCTCCGAGTGAACCGTCCATGGCTAGTCAGGACACAATCAATGTCTCGCCGGTGCGCGGGATTGATACTGAGAGTGTGGGATCGGCGCAAGCGCGTCAGCGGAAGGGTGGCATCCTAGGAAAGTTCAAGCCTCGCCATAATGACGATGAATGGGAGGATAAGAAGTCGCTTTCGGCTTATCATTCGTTCACTTTTGCCTCGCAGTTAAGGGCTACTGTCTTGAACTCGTGGATCAACGTCCTTTTGATCGCTGCACCTGTTGGAAGTATGTCTTGCTCTTCCTGCCGGTTGTTGAGTTATGAAGGTGCACATGCTAATTCTATTTCTGTGCACAGTTGTGCTATATGCCGTTGGAGCCAATCCGATTGCAATTTTCGTGGTTAACTTCGTTGCTATCATGTGAGCGATCTATACCGCTGACCATTGTCGAGGATCTTACGGGCTAACAGACATCTACTAGTCCTCTTGCTGCCATGCTCAGTTTCGCAACCGAAGAGATTGCCCTTCGGTAAGCTTGAACGTATCTGATTCTATTTGATCTATACTCATATCTCTTCTAGCACGAGTGAAACAATCGGTGGTCTGCTGAATGCCTCGTTCGGGTATGCTTTATACTCCCCATTGTCCCCTTCCACAGCACCATTTCTAACTCATATAGTAACGCCGTCGAACTGATCGTTGCAATCATCGCACTGGTCCAGCGCAAAACCCTCATCGTGCAGACCTCGCTGATCGGAAGCATTTTGTCCAACCTGCTCCTGGTGTTGGGCATGTCCTTCTTCCTCGGTGGTATCCCTCGCATCGAGCAACATTTCAACGTGACAGTTGCCCAGACGGCCGCGAGTATGCTCGCATTAGCTGTTAGCAGTTTGATCATTCCCACTGCCTACCACAAGTGGTCTGATCGTCAGTGATGACTACATCCCAGAACTTGCAAATTGACAGCTAACGAGAATTTTGATTGTAGTTGGAAAAGTAGATGGAACCGCCGCTCTATCTCGAGGTACGTTATAGCTTACCTGCTGGGACTTCCAGCCCCGAGGGCCTGTCTATTGCTTACTTATCTTCTTACTCACACCACACCCCAGGCACCAGCGTCCTCCTTCTAATAGTGTACGGCTGCTACCTCTTCTTCCAGCTGAAGTCACACGCCGACATGTACAACCGACCCAGCCAGAAGGTCGAACGGCGAAGCGCGAAGGTCGAAGAGGGCGACGCCAGCCGAGGTATTGCCCAAATCGGCAAAATGACTGCCACCCCGTTGGTCGGACAGAACCCCGACCACATGCAGATGGAGGATCTCGATGATGAACCTGAGGAGCCTCAGTTGTCCATTACGGTTGCGATTCTCACGCTGATCATCTCGACTGCGTTTGTTGCTGCGTGTGCTGAGTTCATGGTATGCATGTTCATCTTTCCCCGAGATCTGTCCTAGATGCTCTTTTTTTGTGATTGTAGTGAGCTCATTTATCTACGCAGGTTGAATCCATCGATGCTTTGACGGAGACAGGTAACATTCGCGAGACGTTCGTCGGGTTGATCCTTCTGCCTATCGTTGGTAATGCGGCTGAGCACGCTACCGCAGTGACAGTCGCATGCAAGGATAAGATGGATCTTACGATTGGTGTCGCTGTTGGATCTAGCATGCAGATTGCGCTGCTAGTGTTGCCGCTGATTGTTGTTCTTGGGTGGATCATTGGCGTTGAGGATATGGTATGGATGAGCGCTATGCAAAAGCTTAATGTAGTCACAATGCTGATACTAACTGCGACAGACTCTCAACTTCGATGGATTCCAGGTCATCGTACTATTCATGTCTGTTCTTCTGGTAAGTGGATTCGGTTCAAGGCGAGAAAGCAATACCATTGTACTAACTATTGTTTCATAGGTCAACTACCTCATCGGTGATGGCAAGTCTCACTGGCTCGAGGGTGTCTTGTTGATGATGATGTATCTGATTATCGCTCTTGCGGCTTGGTATGTGGTCCTTCCGATGGTTGGCAATTGTTCCTTACTGATTGCGTCTCTAGGTTCTTCATTTAAACCTTCACACTCATTATAGTCACCGGGCTGGGTCCCCGTTGACGATACGATATCGATCTTCTAATTCACCATCCCAATCCTGGGGACTTCTTTTTAGTTGATATTTCTATCATCTATATCATGTTTACTTGCTCTGATTTGTTTTGGATTCTATTATGATCGCTCATAATATACCCACTCTGGCGGTGCTTTCCCATGTCCAACGCGTCTTATTTCTTTTTCTTTCTAGACAAAATTGACTGGTGATTATATTCCAGTTTCCCGCAATAACCCAAAACAAAAAGTAAACCCAAATAGCCGGACAAGACGGCCTATTAGATCAGGCTAAAAAGCCAAGCTGACTAACCCGGTAACTTGGCCCCGAGTGGGGATTGGCAGAGCTTTCGGGATTGAATTCCCCGACGGACCCAGAGAGTTCGCAGAGCCAAACCTTGGAATACACCCCTGGACGAATAAGCAGAGTGCAGTATGATAGTATCACAGTTTATTAGAGCACAATCCTTTAGCCACCGGGGATTTATCGGGGTAAACGATCACGGTTAGGCAATCCAAATCCGGACTCGGGAGACTCGGTATGCCACCTATGTTTCTAACCGAGCCGATGTGGGGACTGGGAGTGTTCTTGGTTCGAATCCTTTTCATTTTTACTGCGGAGTACCTCCGTACGGAGTCCCCGGGTCTTAGGTTCCTTTTCTGGAAGTGTTTAGCCTGTAAGAAACTGAAATTAGTTCATAAAATGGCATCAAGAATTAGTACGAGCCACGTGCCGAATTAGATGGGGTCGGCAACTGCTCCGCGCCGAGAAAGGACAGAAAAGGGGGAAAAGAGCATTTGATCCCGACCGTCGGTTTTTCCCTGGAACAAAATAATATCTACTCCGTACAGCCATGGCGCTGGAGGCTTAGCATTATCAATTGGATTGGATTATTTCTAAATCGAACTTCCGGCGGCACGGGATGTCTCGGATAATATCAAGTTGGGAAGGTTAGAAAAGATGATCAAGGGAGTTTCCTTTATTAATTTTTGTCACCTGAGAGGCTACTCCATATGTGGGGTAGCGAACCACAGGATGTGGAAGGACATTGTAGCAGTAGTAGAAGAGGAATGTACGGATGCAATGTTAATCGAGTACTTAGGAATATGTCATGGAAACTGTTAAAAATTTCCTTTTTAAGCTTCTCCACTATTATCCACCGGGGTACGGAGTACAATATAAAAAAGCCAAGAGGCCGGAGATTTACTGGACATGGGAATATTAGGCACATGACCAATGGTGCCCTGAGTCTCCTCTTCAAAGGTTACCATACAATATAAATACTACTCCAAGTCTCTCTCACTATACAACATAGGTACCACTGTATAGTTAAAAATCCAAAAGAACAGACCCCAACTCGAACTTCATTACCTAATATAAAGTAAATGCGGGGTTATCCGGGGTCCAATCGCTGGAGCCTCGGAGGCTGCGGTCCAATCGCTGCATCGGACGGGGCCGAAATGTGACCGGGGGGAAAAACTCGGTGTATGAGACTTTTCCGATGTGTGACATTCTTGAGCATGTGTATAACCTCGGAACTACTCCATAAACAAATTTGGATTCCGTACTCCGTAAGGGATGAAAGGATGAAACAAAAGCCTCTGATCACCGATGCAGTCGGCCTCGGGCTGTTTGCACTTGCACATGGTATAAGGATAGCAGCAGAAGTACGGAATAAGCACTGGTCGATTCAGTCCAAATTCCCCATCCCGTGAAATATGCGTTTTCTTCCGAAGGGATGGCAGCTCATTCGACCTTCTGCCGAGCGACCTGATCCCTTCCCCGATTCTTCCAAATGTGACGGGTGGCAAGCGGGGGGAAACACAAGCCAACAGTCCATATTGCAGGAACGTCGCACGGAGGCCGCCGTCGAATACGGGGTGAGAGGTCAAAGGTAACAGCCGACGCCAATCAAGTCAAGCCTAACTGTCAATGTAACTCCCGTGAGGATCTAGGATCTCGCATCTTTGCGGGGAGCCCCGACCAGGGTTGATCTTGGAGACCCTTGATTGGATGCTACATCCCCTTCTGCCCCATATTGATAGGCTGCGTGGATGGCAGGTCATCCATGTTCTGGGGACCTATACCCGAGGGATCCAAATGGGCCGAGATACCCCTCTTGGAAAAAGAAACAACCATGTGGAAAAAAGCCAAAAAGAAAAGAAAGCCTTATGGTCCGGTCCACTGGTTTTCAGAGCATCTTGTGGAGTCGCCTTTCGGTTTTTCCGTTCTTTTTCCATGACTCGCTCTGGATTCTCGCTGTACTCTCCGAGAATGCCCCCATCTGTGCGCACACATTCTATTCTCGCTTGCCTATTTTGGTGTTCCCGACGCGGGAAGTGACGGTGTATGGATTCCCGCCCAGACAAATGCCGATCGGACATGAGCTGTCACGGGGTAGACCTGGTCAATTGCCTATGTTGTAGGTAGAGGCTAATAGTACTTTTGAACCCCAGTATGTATAGAGTTCTAGGCGGCCATGGAACCAGGGTGTACAACATTGTACGTATGATGGTCCCCAAATCCACCGATCCCCCAGATTTAGGCACTGCGACTTATCCTCACGGCCCTAGAGGAAAAATGCCGGAAAGTGGCCGGAGGACAACCGGCCGGGGAGTGGACGGGTATTGTTATTCCAGCTAGTCCGGGTGCTTTGGATCTGGATTTGGTCCGGTAGTAAAGACAACGTCCTACCTGACAGGCCAGATTGCACTTCTTTTTCCATATTTTCTTATTTTCGGACCGTGAGCTGAGCCCGAGTCGGGTAGAGATGCGAGACGACGATCATGAGATCAGAGGCCTGGTAAGAATGGGGTATATTTCCTAGGCCGCACAGGCCGCAGAGTGTTTTCCGTGCCGAAAAGGTATATATTACATAAGTAGATAAATGGGGGATGACTGTAACATTAGATATGTACTATTTAATCATAGTACCTATAGTTATACATATAAATATTTATATACCTATAGTTAAGACAATGGATGTATATAGTAAATGTGATATAATCCTAGTACGGAGGAACTAGGCAAATCGGCAAGCCAGAAACTGGGGGGCTCCACCTCCACGAAAAAGCGCGTCCTTGCATACTTTTGGGCCCTCCGCAATTTCAGCGGCTCTTGACTTTCTCGGCTTTTCTTTTCTTTTTATTTTCATTTCCCTTTTTCTCTTTCTTTTTTTTCCAGCTTCCCTCTCTGAGCCTATTTCCCCGGTCGAGACAATTCCCCGTTCCCTCCCGACTTGTGTTTCTCCCGGTCCGGTGCCCCGACTCTTTGAGTTTCCCCCACACTCCGCCAATTCCGTTCTTCTTCTTCTCCCTTGGTCCTTCCCTCTTTCGTTCTCTTTACTTCCCTTTCACTTCGCTCGGGTTATCTAGTATGTTTCCAAGCTAGGCCCCGGCAGGTGCAATGCTGACTATTATAGAAAAAGTCCCTTCGCCTAATTTACCGAGATCTCTTCCCCCACAAAAAGTACCAACGTGTGACCCTGATACCGACGGTAAATGGGAGAATTGCGATTGACACAAATCGACCAGTCGCATATCTGCAGACTTCAGGTCTGTCCAATACAACATGCGGTCCAGCATCGCTTGCGCTCGATGCCGGCGCAGTAAAATCAAGTGCGTCAATGCCGGCATCGATACAACCTGCCGCGCGTGTGAATCATCCGGGCGCGAATGTGTCTACCCAACCCCAGCAATCGGAGTGAGCAGCGCCAAACGAGATCTGGCTGCCCTGGCAGAAGGCGAGGATCGAAATGGAGACTGGGATGGCCCGAAACGACATCGCTCGCGCAAGGTGGTAGGCATATCCGGCTCCTCGGCTGGTTCCAAGCTCGGTGTGGATGCGCTTGATTCCTCGATACTTACAACAAAAGTTTGGGAGGCCGTCTTCGATCTCTTCCAATCTCATTTTGCGACTCTTCTACCCTTCCTACATCCCGCGACCTTTCTCGGCCAGATTCGACAGCTTTCGTCTCCTGCGACCTTCGATGGACAAGATCCCCGGAATGCCGGTTATAAAGTGGATCCGTCTTCCTCACTGATTCCACTGGGTGTTCTGGCCCTAACTGCTCGGTTTCACCCTCCGTTGGCTGCAGCCCACTCACCAGCATCGCCTAGTCACTCTTCGAATCCGCTTGCCGCATCGGAATACTATGCCGCAGCCCTTCGCAGCCGGCTGGCCGGCTTGGATGGCGCTTGCCTCGCTCAACCAGACCTTACGCGCGTACAGGCGCTATTGATGTTAGCCTTGCACGAGTGGGGGATGTGCCGAGGCAAAAGTGCTTGGGTCTACGTGGGTATGGCCATCCGGCTTGCACAAGCCATGGGTCTGCCCTTTGAACTTGAAAATGAATTCCCAGCGCGGGATCCTTCGCGCTCGTCTCCCGGCTTGAAAACTGAGGCAGATCATTTCGGTCTGCCACGACGTGCAGAGCCCAGGGAGCCGACCTCTGATGATATCATTGCGCAAGAGACCAAGCGCCGGACATTCTGGGCCTGTTTTATCCTCGACCGATGCCTCAGCAGTGGAAAGTACCGGCCTCGGATGGTCCGAGTAAAGGAACTCGGAATTCAGCTTCCGAGCGACAATGCTTTTGCTTTCGGCGAGCGGGTTCGAACGGCCCGGCTTAATGAACCGGCCGTTCGGCGTCCGCAGAGCTTCGGTTCCCAAAGCATGCAAATCCCCAGCATCCGTCAAAGTATAGGAGGCTTTGGCGATGAGAAAATCCCGGGACCCAATGGCACGCCAGATAACAAGCCCTGGTCACCTATCTCTCGTCGCAAGGACTCGAGCGAAGAAGAGGTTGATCGATGGGAGGTTGGCGCAGAGGAGTCGGTGCTCAGCCGAGTTATTCGGATCATTCGTGCTTGGGGAAGCATCGCCAAATGGTCTTGCGCCGGCGGTCGACGCACGGAGCAATATCCCCCATGGCATCCTGAATCTCGCTTCGCCTCGCTCCGCCAGCAGTTGAACGAGTTCCAGGATAGTCTTTCTCGCAACCTGCAATATTCACTGCGAAATACCGACACACATATCATGTACAAGACCACTCTGGCTTCATATACCGTGATGCATGTTGTCTACTTCCTATCGGTGATTGTCCTTCACCGTGCCTATATTCCATTCCTGCCTATCCGCTGCAATGAGCCTTCTGGCCCCTTGGATGAGCCGTTGTTCGCCGTCGACAAGGTCAATGGCCCACCCGATGGTTTCTGGCGGGATAGTGCCCGTGAGCTCTTCAAGGCAGCGCGGCAGATGATCGACCTTGTGGCCACCTGCCAAGCCCGCGGTGCTCTTGTTGAGAACCCTTTGGTCGGATTTGCTATCTATAATGCCGCTTTTGTCGGCGTTTATGGAACACATTTCCCACACATGGATCCAGATGGATTGATGGGAACGAAGCCACCCCCTGCGAGCCATGATAGCCACCAGCTTGGTGTTGCACAAGCACGCAAGGCCTTGGATATCATCCGAGAGATGCGGCCCCGTTTGAAGATGGCGATGGGCTGGTTCCGCACCCTGAACCGCCTTCACAGCTACTTCTCCAAAGTCAAGCGTGATTTCCGCCGGGTCTCACGGAATCGCCTGGATAGCATGTCGGATGCCTCTGACCACGGCCTCAACGGGATTCGCCTCCTTCGCGAAGGTGGTGCTGGTGGCGGCCTCGAGGAATTCAAGTTGCTCGAAAAGCTTTTCCTCGACTTTGGAAGCATCGAGGACCAGTTGACAGATTCTGGAATGGACGACGACAGTATCGCAGTGCCCGCAGCAAGTGAGTCCATCTACGAACGCACGAATATGAGTGACGCTGGAAGCAACGCCGTCAGGAGCGAAACCGGTGATCCCGGTGACCAGATGCTCGACGGTGCCGGTGGCCGTCGCGAGTCGTGGGTCCCGGTCAACAGCCCCGGTCTGTCGTTACCTGGACATGAAGGCGATCGCCGTCCCAGCCTACCACTTCCCAACAGCCGCCAAATGCCATCTGGATCCCCGTACTCCCTCCCATCCCTTCAGCAACATCACCCAGACGGCCCAATCTATACCACCTCATCCCCCGGCTTCCCCTCTCTATCTGCAACTACGCAGTCCCCCTCCCAATACTTGACGGCAACAACCAACCGTCTAAATCCCATCAACTCCTGGCTCCCATCCCGCCCACAGGCTCCTCCCCCGCCGTACTCCCAATCCCTCCCTCCCATCAACGCAGCCACCTCACACACCATCCCTGTCCTCCCCCCACCGGGATCCGTAACTCAGTTGGCCCCCTCCCCGCCTCTGACCTCAACCGAATACCCAGACTCGAGCTTACTATCAACGAGTCTTGGCGGAGACGACGTCCTCGCCTTCTTGGATGGGTGTGATTGGGGCCAGCTGTCCATGCTTGCGCCTTCAGAGATCGGTATTCCCGCCGGTTGGCTGAGCACGGTCTGGTCCCAATTCAGCCGCTAGAATTGCCACGAGAGGGCCATTATCTCTGTCCCACCTCTTTAGCCGGCGCTCATCGAAGCAGTAGGCAGTGGCATCAATCGACTCGCCTTATTGTATTATTACTTTTACGACTTCCTTCGTCCGTTACGTCTTACGTACTACACGATCATCTCTTTCTCTCTCTTTACTACCTATGACCGCCGGCGACTCAAAATATGGGACATTCAAGCCTGCGGAAAATCCCCGAGTGCCGAAGGCAGGCGAATTGAACTCCAAATCCAAATATTTCCTCTCCTAGTCTGGCCACACTATACCAG